GCCTTTTGTGTACATAGAAAAAGTCTTAGATCTTTGAGTTCAGCTCATGAAAAATGGGGGCAAAAACAAAAGTGTTGCATTTATAATTTTGTTCAGTGTATATTCAAAGCAGTTAAGTATATTATTTTAAAGCATATTATTTTCATAATACATACTCTTTTTAAAAGTATGCTTAAGTGTATTTCTTTATCACAAGGGTCTCCAGTCTGAGGCAGCAACACAATTCTTCAAAATAACCTTACAAATCCACTCTCACGCTCTTTCCTCATAAACTGAATTTTGGCAGTGGGTCTCTCCAGACTATTGCACAAAAATGTCTAGCTGTTAGAATAGAAAACATATTAAATTGACCACTGCACTTGAAAGGGATTTCAAGACATGAGAGAACAAAGCACAATCACATTTAAACCTTCCTGCTTCATTTAAAGTGATGCGTTTAATTTTTTCAGTGTTTAAAATCCGTATCTTATGCTTTGTTTAATATGCAGAGACATCTATAAATAAATCATTCTATGATTTAATGATTTAATGTTTAAACATTGTGTCTCTGTGGTGTAATCAAACCACTGACCCATTTGTTTGAACACGGAGTCATTATTTCTGCAATTCAGTTTGGTTTCGTAGAAATTACACACTTCACTTAAAGCACTTTTTTATATTGACCAAAAAAAGAGAAAGCATAAACTATTTTGTTTGAAGCACCTGACTTCCACATGGGGAGGAAAGCTGTAAAGTGCATGACGAGGCAATAATCACTGTGCAGCTGTTTCCTGTTCTGTAACAAAGAACTGTGTCATCAGACTTTCACATCACTAGTCTCAGATCAGCATTTCACCACACCCAAAAAGTTTTACGCAAATCCCAAGTGTATAAAATAAGATTTCTTCCTCATAAATATCAGTTTTATATGGGATTGTATTACAACTGGTCATGTTCATTGAATACAAACACAACTGAAACTGAAATGAAGTCTGACTAAATGTAGACTTTCCCTAAACCTTGATTAAAACACTTGCAAATATGAACTGCATTGATATCCACAGACATGACAGTAGCTGTGTTTCCATCCAAAGTTGCGAATTTAACTTGTGCAAAAATGGAATATCGAATAAAACATTTGCGAATAAGCACTGTTTCCAACCAACGAGTCAAAGAGAACAAAATTGTCACTTCCTGATAAACTGGCACTAAATGTCACAAAAAAAGTAGGAGAAGCCACTGAATATGATATTTTTCATATATAACATATTACTTGCACCTCAGAGCAAGCAGACGGAACACAGTGAATGCTGTCGTTGCTTTCGGAGGTGGATGCTGCTGTTCGGGAATGGAGTCGTGTAAGACAATTATACAGAAATACTTTGACAACAGACTTTGCTCGTGCATTTAAGAATGACCGTAACAACATTTCAGATGCTATGCAATGAGATGTGTCTGCTCACATGTCACATGACTTTATTTGATGCACATAAAGGAATTTATTCGGCAAATGTGTTTCCATCTCCCATTATTTGCATGAACACTTTTTTGCACTAATCAAAAACCACCTCAAGTGGGCGTAAAAACTTTTTTGCAAATTAAGTTTTTTTCCCCCACTATTTGGTGTTTCCATCACTCGTTTGTGATACAATACTTCAAAATGCGCATAAAAACACGGTCATGGAAACAGAGCTAGTGAATTGTACTGAATACAATAACGATGGATCGTTTTTAAAAAAGAAATCTGTAAATTTCACTATTATGCTTCAAAGTTAAAGGGGTCATATGATGCGATTTCAATTTTTCCTTTCTCTTTGGAGTGATACAAGCTCTTGGTGCATAAAGAAGATCTGTAAAGTTGCAAAGACTAAAGTCTCAAATCCAAAGAGATATTCTTTATAAAAGTTAAGAGTCAGCCACGCCTACCTAAAACGGCTCGTTCTAACACGCCCCACATATCTACCTCACGATGAGCTTTGTAAAAATCGATGCGTTTCAGAAAGGCGGGGCATAGAGGAGAAACAATAATGTACAGTATGTGGAAAATAATGTGTTTTTTTTTTACCTTAAACCGCATAAACACATTGCATTACACCAAATACACAAAATAATGTTCTTTTTAGCAACGTCATATGACCTCTTTAAAAGCAATATCATGTCTTCAAAAGAGATGCCATTTTGACAGTTATTCTTTGCATGACCAGGAACTGTTATTGTTTTAATAAACAGGTTATAATATAAAATATATATATTTAATATACAGATTTAAGGAACAGCATTATTCAAAGAGGGCTATCAGCAGAATTAAAGGTGAAATGTGCCATTTCAAATATATATAGATATAATATAATGTTGTACATCAGTATAGCAAGTTGATATTGAAATTGTAAAAATGAAATGACACATACTTAATTTGGTACCTGCTGTTAGGCAGCTTTCAAGCAGTCCCATGTGTAATTTATGTTTGTGCTCTAAAGAGAGCCAAATGATTCTATTTACAATGCGTTTTCGCAGCACTGAGTAATTTTGCCATTCATAGACACATTGAAAAAACAATAGGCATAGAAACAATTAAAATAATCAGAAATTTGTAGCAAAAAAAAGAGCAAGACACTGAATTAAATGTGAAATTTTGAAAGACTGAAATACTACTTTCTTATAAAATTTCAACTTTGTTTTCTTTACAACTTCAAAAAATATTTGCAATGCCAAATGCAATGGTCAATCATTGGTGTTTAAGGTCTATCAAAGTCAAATTTCACTCCAAAGCATTCAAAACAGTTTTTGTACAGCGCAAACCTCATGCTTGCAAATCTATTCATAATAACCAACAACGTGCAGACACAATGTAAATAAGAGATTCTTTGAGTTGCTGCTTTGAGTTCAGCAAAAACTCACGTTATAATCAGCGAGTTTGCACTGAACTGAAGTGGTTTGCAGCTTTAGTGATTATAAAGGCACTGCTCTTTTTGTTTACAACTCATTCATTTTTGAATAAAGATTTTGTTTTTCATACTAAGTGGAGTATAACGGCCACATGCACACTGTAAGGTTTCTCATGTGACAACAGCATTTACATGTGGGAGAGAATCCACAAAATTATTGAGTCATCTCTGCATATTACACTGAGATAGCTGAAAGTATTTTAACATTCAAAAATCGTAGTAGGCCTATAATAATTTATATTAAAAAAATGCATTCACCTATGTGGCATCATAAATGAGAAATAACAAACAAGCTCACGAAACACTATTTGGCTTTTTGTTCTGTTTAGACATGCTGTCTTTGTGTGTACACTAGTGTTTTGTCCCTTACACAGAAAGGGTACAATAGCTGAAAAATAAAGCGGAGCTATTTTTAGACCAGTGTGATGACAATAATTTGCTGAACAATTTCCCATCATGCATATGGCAACAACACAGCCCAGCATTTTCTCCCTGATAAAACCTACCCTGACACCAGAAAACCACCCATTTGCTATTGTGCACACTGCATCAGTTTACAAAAGATAATAAACTACCGCTTGCATTGACAATCTATTTTTACAGATCCTAGAATATTCCATTTAAATTATGGCCTGATCCAAGACAATTTAATCTAAAACGATGTTAATTTATTGAAGTCTTTTATTTTGTAATAGAGCTCTCAAAGCAAAAACAGCAACTCATACCTGATACAAATACAGATAAACACTTTCAATCTGAGATTTACAAGATAGATACCTTTGACATGAAGAGAAAAAAAGAGACATACACAGTGGCGCTAAACAATATTTGACCAGTTAAGCAACAGTTTGCATGAACTTGCATTTTCCCTGCATTAGATAATAAAATTAAATCAATTTCGCATTTATTTTATATGAACTACAGTGGACTTTTTAATTTATTTGTTTTTTAATTTATCGGTTATATTGGTCAGTATTGGATATTTTATTGTGCAAGCTCATTTCTATATATTCATATATTTCTATATATATTATTCATATTCATATATGTATTCAGAGCCAGAATTAAAAAATTAAGTCCATTTCTTTTCTCAACTTTCAATCAAAGAAACTCATAGAAAGAAATACTGTACATTATTTACATCATAAAACAATAGATTTACAGTTGAAAATTACAAAAAGTGTTTTGACACCTTATGATTGTGAATCATTAGTGGCTTGTGTTCATAGCTAATGTGATAAACTAGCTTATACTTCATAATGTAATAAACTGAACTTGAGCTGAGCTGACTTCATGCATCCACTACAAATAACTAAAGAAAATTTCGTTTTGAGAAAATATCTTACATCTTCTACTTTTCAGATGTCACTTGGTTTAATATCCTGATATCTATTGTGATGATATTCAGATAATTTTACGTGTTGTATAAAAGTAAATTTACTTTTAGGGGGCCACTGTACAGTATATGATGTGTTTCTGTGTGTGTGTTAAATACCCTGTGCAAAAAATCATTTACATCAAGTCTAGTAAGACTGGTACCACAACTTCCAAAAGTTGTTGTGCATCTAAGGACAACATAAAGCAGAACAGACTGCAGGATGAGCCGCTGCCATCTGACACACTCGTCTCTTACTCAATCCATATAGTAGGTGAACTGAGAGAGCGAGGCAGTGCAATGAAAGAAAGCATGAGAAATCTCAACTTCATTCAGGTCAGGGCCAATGACTCAAATGACATCTCTCAGCAGACATTCATCTCTATATGTCAAGAACTTCACTGGGAACGTACTTCTAACTAACCTTCACAAGTGTTTCCATACACTTCTTTCTATGTTCTTTTTCTATGAAGTTTTGTGCCTCTATCACTTCTTACACTCGTACAAAATTGTATTCCAGTTAGTGTGAGTAATGCAGCTCTTCCCAGAACTGCTCCACTGCTCTTGGCATCAGACGCTGTGTGAGTATTAGTCGGTGCCCTGAGGAATCGCATCAACAATTACAACAGCAGACAACACCACATGATGATACACGGCAGCTGTTCTCACTTCACCTGTGCCATCCTGTGCATAGAAACAACGCTAACAAGGTGGAAAAAATGTATAGCATGCAAGCCAAAAGCAGTTTTTGTGGTATGAAAGCAGCTGGTTAAAATGTAAAAAATAAGTGTTTTGTGTGTTCTCAGTCTAAACGACAGTTTTTGTGTGCCTGCAGTCCCATCCTGTGTGTCTGAGCGCTGCATTAAGCCAAATATAAATAAACCAATCCTCAAGCTCTCAGAACAGGCTGGAAAATAGCAAAAGCATCTGACAGACAGGTGACACGGCTTGTTAAAGATTAGAAAAGATGTGCTAAAACTGCCTGATTTACACGCTTTCCCTTGTTTTATAGAAACCAGGTGCTCGTGTGACTTTTCTGTCAACTGGGAAAAAACGTGGGCAAAAACATTCATTCAGTTTTTGTAAGCGTTTGTTGACTTACCATCATGTTTGGTCTCTCGGTGACCAGCGAGCCATCTTTGGCATAAGAGTACACAGTGAAATCCTCTGGAAGAAGCAATCTGAGGGGAAAAAAACAACAATGTAAGGATTCATTATTGCAGGTATTTAATCCTTTAACTGTCACCCCCATTTTTGAACATAGACGTAAAAGTGCACGATCCAAACTTAAATTGTTATAATTCATGAACGAATACATTTTGTAATATGAATTTGGAGTACCATTTCCATGGTAATGCAATGTCCAATTTTAAAATGGTTTTCACGAGATCAATTTTGAGGTTTTAAACTTTCAATTGATATATAATTTATGATGATTTCTAAAATGTGGCAGGGGAAAAAAACTGAATAATTTTATTATATAATTGCAAGGATTTAATCACATTTAATTGTTTAAAAGTGATAGCAAAGACATTTACAATGTTACAAAAGTTTTCTATTCAAAAATCCTGAAAAAAGTATCATGGTTTCCACAAAGATGTTAAGCAGTGCAACTGTTTTCAACAGTGATAATAATCAGAAATCATTATATTAGAATGATTTCTGAAGGATTATGTGACACTGAAGACTGGAGTAATGATGCTGAAAATTCAGCTTTGATCACAGGAATAAGTTACATTTTAAAATATATCAAACTGTAATAAAATTTTACAGTATTACATTTTTTACTGTTTTTTTTACTGTATTGATCAAATAAATGCAGTCTGGAGAGACTCTTACAGACCTCAAACTTTTAAACAGTAGTTTATACACAAGCTTGTATTTCTTGCATATAAGATATTCCTGATGCTTTATAATGTCTTATAAAGATCAGACAAATATTTAGTAGGTTTGTGTAAAACACCATGTGTCAGGAAACCCGAACAAATAAAAAAAATCAGGTTTGAGCACGAGCGAATGTGGAAAACTTGACCAAAGGCATTAGAGAGCAACACCACCATGACCCTGTGACCTTTAGTCACAAGCAGCAGCAGGAAAGAGAGCTGAGAGGAAGTGCTGAGTGAAGTAGTGTGTGTAGCTCTGAGAAAGAGAGAAGATTATCATAAAATATCCTGCAAAATATTTCAGTGCAAAAACCTGCATCACATTCACTAACATCCTACAATGTGTGTGAGTGTTTAAATTAAGTGATATTCTTTTCAGCCCAAACATCTCTCATGTTTTTGGTAAATTAGGCAGGTTATCATTTGTGCTTCTGCGTTATATGCCTGGTGCTTTTAGCGCCCACAGAATGCAGGCAGCAAACAAATGTTAATAAAAAGAGATGTGTTCAGGTGCCTTGATTGCAATGGCAGAGCGATGCGGTTTTGCATAATTCCTTCAGTGAATCATGTACTAAAACAATGCAGACAGCATATGCAAATAAACAATGCTCAATCAGTGAACGCAATTTATTCTGCATTCCCCTCAGAACGACAAAATGAGAGCAGAGGAGAGCGTACAGAAGGCAAAGGAAAGTAAAGACGAGATCTGACCACCCCACATCCAGTCTGTCTGAGACTCTTGTGGGTTTGGTTGTGTTGGAGTATCACTGTGGCTAGCGGCCCATTGAACATGCACACACTTTCTCTCTCGTAATCTCTCCCTCTGTGTATATGGAGGTAGAAATCGAGGGCAGGGTAGGTGGGGTGTTGTTTTTGCTGTAAGGCAGATGTGGGGAACTGCAGAGTCGTCCTGCAGCCACAGACAGAAAAGAGCAATGGAGAAACTCTTACTTATGATTACATTCTGGAAGAATAATTTCATGTCTGATCTAAATTGATGTGCTAGTTTCTTGCAAATTAAAAAGAGAGCAAATTGCTCTGTGTAATTCTGAAATTCTCTCAATTATTCAGTTATATTTTTGCTTTATTTATATACTAGTAGTATTTATTAATGTTTTGACTTGGCATTCATTTTCATTTTAGTTTAAGTTTTGGTAATTTTGTTGTCATTTAGTTTTAGCTAGTTTTTGTTGTTTTTTATATTTCTATTTGTCTTTAATTTATTTTTCTTTTAGTTGTAACTTTTTTCAGTGCCGTTTTGTACAGTTTTCATCTCATATTTATATTTTGGTTTATTTTACCTCTACATAAATTAACGAAAACAATTTTAAAAAAAGTTTTAGTCTTAGTTAACAATAACAACACTGCAAATGTTATGGCAAAGTCAACATGAAATACATAATAAATGTACCTGGTCTTACTATGTTTCTGTTACTATGTTTGTCATAGGCAATTTCTCAAAGATTATTTACAATTTAATACATGAAAAAAAAAACTGTAGTGCCAACTTTGGCCACTGGGGCACTGTTTTTTTCTCTTTTGATCAAAAACAATTAAAAATACATTAAATATACGTGTATAACAACAACATTAAAAAAGAGCAGAAATAATTTTCCTTAACGGATGCAGGAATGCAGAAATTCTGGAGGAAAAAAAAACACTTCAAATATGAATATAGACGATAGTATAGTGTATCGACGATAGTCAGAGATATCGACGATAGCAGATGTCTTTGTCGATAGACAAGACGATATTAGGCTCATTCTCCTATTGATGTATTAATAATAATAACAATTATTATTATTATTAGGCGGCCCATTATAATCCGGCTATTATTATCAAATTGCCCCGCTTTTTCATTCAGCACTGTATTTCACACACACACCCGCAAATGAGGAGCCTGTAGCCGGTGAAGGAGTCTCCAACCACAAACACAGACACATATCGTCTGCTGATATAAGGTATTTCGTTGCACTTTAACAA